TTTAAAACCATGATTTTGAACCCAAAATTGATTCTAAATGGGTATCCAAACAGGCCCATTGATACATTCTTCAACACTACCCTTAACAAATGTTGATTTTACTTACTTTAAAACTCGAGTGAGACTTTTAGATATTTGTTGCTAGAAATAATGAAGACATTTATAACAATATCGTCCTTTTTTATCCAAAAAAAATAAAGAAATAATGAAGACACCGTTTGTAGATTATTTATGCGATTTTCCATCCATTTCTATTTATTTATTTTATTATTTAAAGGGAAAAAAACTTTCTTGATTTGCAACTAAACTTTTAAGATAAGCTTCTTGTGAAGTACTGTGCAACCACACATGGGTTTTTGGTGAATCTTGAATCCTCCTTGAATTATTCCCTAGCCTCTTGTGATCTCATCGTGCAATTTCATTTAGAGTTAGACAAAGCGGGTGACACAAATCTATTTACTTAGTGGATGTTTCATACAGCATAATAATAATCATTTAATTTAATTGAACGGTTGTTATATATTTTATCACATGATATTCAAAAACACCAAATCTCACAATTTTAAAAGTCATGGCACACTTGAAAAATGTTCCGATCATAATGGTTATTTTAATTTTTTTAAAAAATATATTTTAATAATTTTTAAGCGTTGATAAAACTCAAAGACTATAACTAAGTCATTATTAAGTAAGTTGATTTAATCTACTCATCAGACATGCAATTTTACTTGTTGTAGGATGAGGAAAAACCTCCCTTATTTTCATATTCAAATTCATCCTTTTTAAATTGCCCCATACAATGGCAGAACCAAGATAGGAAGTTTAGGGAGGCCAAATTTAAATTAAAGTTACTATTTATAATGATAATTTAGTTTAAAATGTAGAATAAAAATTTTATTAAAAATTTTTATAATATGAAAAAAATCACAAGATAAGAATTATAAAAGAAAAAATAACATTAAAATCATTTTGAATTATCTAAATGACATTTTAATCCCTTAAAATGCCATAATTTATTTGAAGTCTTTAAAAATTATTCTGTCATAAAGAAATTAATTTAAAAGATTAAATTGTCCTTGATTCAAATAAAAATCTCAAGTCTCATATCAACTACTTACGAACTTGCGAATTGCTATTGAATACTCGCGATTTTATAAAAAAAAGTTGTGAATATTAAAATAAAATTTATAAATGGCAATTGATATTTGCAAAACTTGATAAAACTTGAAGAATATCAAGATTTCAAATACGAACTTGTGAATTGCCATTAAATTTTTGTGATTTAAAAAAAATTATAAATTTTAAAATAAAACTTGTGAATCAAGGGCGTGAAATATCTGTTATAAATCTTGAAATTTTTATTTCAATCAAGAATAATTTAATTTTTACATTAATTTTTTAATAACAGAAAAATCTTCAGGGACTTCAAAAAAATTATAGCATTTTAATATATCAAAATTTCATTTATACAATCTAAAAGGATTTTATTGTTAATTTTTCCATTATAAAAAGTAAAAAGTACATGAATTAAAGTTCTTCTAGGCAATTTAAATAATTTTTAAAAAACATCCATGTTTAAAGAGAAGTACTTGGAAGGTTTGCGTTTTCTAACTATTGATTTTATGAGAGATTCATACAAATTTTTAAAATAAAAAAAATGTATATATAACTAAAATAAAATAGAGGAGATATTAGTGCATTTTACTCATAATACTTTTCATTTATTATTATAAGACATTTTTAATGAGTTAATTATTTATCTTTAAAATTACACTCCCCCCATCCTTATATATAAGATATTTTTAACTAAATCTCACATATGAATAAATATTTGTTATTTAGTTGAACTCACACAAAAACACAATGATTTTTTTGTTTTACCCCAAATAATATTATAATTAATATCATGATAGTAGTAGAAAAAATATACAATTAATGATTTATTTTATTTTTTAAAAAATAATAAAATTATCTAATTACTTAAAAATATCATTGCCACCCTTTATATTTAAAGATAAAATAAATTTTTAAAAAATACCTTATACATAGAGACGAAGGAAATACACTCTTTACATATTTACCTTTATTTAATGAAATTTTTTTATTAGATAACTTTATTAATTCTACCCTTAATTAAGAGTACTTTTAGAAAAACTGCATTACTTGCACATTGAAAAAACCCATATTGCCTCATATAAATTTTAACATCTCTCCTTAAATAAAATATTTTTAAAATATTTTATATTTTTTAACAGAGAGTAAACATTAAGTTCTGCTCTTTTTGATGATAAGAAAGTATTTTTCATCATGCATCAAATAAAAAAATATTTTTATGAATCAATATATACGGTGTTACAGTTTATATCTTCTAACATAGAAGTACAAAATTATAATTATATACGTATGTACAATTTATTTGTAAGAAGTGGAGATAGAGAGGAGAATTTTGTTTTCCAAACAAAAGGAGGGGGGCCACTCAACCCACTCACACCACATGCAGACGAAGCTGGTGTAGGGGTTTTTTGGTTTTTGTTTTTGGGGTTGGGAATTTGGAAAGGAGGGGGGGGGGAGTTTCGGGTTTCGCCCCTGGCCCCGTTAGAAGGAAAACTGAAGCCATCTGTGAACGATGCCGTGAACCTGAGTAATTGTAATCTCCGTACCATGCCAGGCATGCAACTGCATCCAATGATTAGGGTTTGTATTATCAACATCATCTCGGAGAGCTTTCCACTACTCACAAAAGAGACATCTGGAACCAAATTTTGGAATAAGATAGATTCTAAGGAGGTCACTGACGAAGAAAAGGCATTTTACGGCTAGCCTGACAATAGCCATGCTAGAAGTAATTAGTTCAATAACAGAGATGGAATGGACAAAAAATGAAACTGATAACTAGCATGTTGATATCCTTTTATGCCTTAGATTCCATGATAAAGCATTAAAGCTAATCCAAGTCAAACTGATAACTCAAGGTCGTCATTTTTCTGCAGCATGCTGGTAAAAAGACTGCCCTTTGCATCTATGCATGAGCCAAGATTTTTACGGAACAGAAGTTACATTGGTTCTGACAGCTTCAGATGCAAAATTTAACGTTTGTTGAACACCTTGAGCCCAAGTTACCTGTGTTTAAAAAACTCTCAAGAAAATAGATGTAATTGCGCGCTCATTCTTGTCATGCATGCTTCAAGACATTTTCTTGCCAGCAATTTCAACTCAGGACTCACTTCATTATGACCAATCTCCGCGTCCAAAATTTCCCTTAAGCCATACAAAACGAGATAGAAGAGAGGAGAAAACAGTTAAGGCTTCAAGTGTGGCTTGGCCTAAATATTTTTAGTTTACCACAAAGAATAGTCACCCAGGCAATCTAGACCCAGGCATTGGGTATCCATATATTTTATCAATGCTTTATTTGATAATCCTAAACTTCGTTGCTAGACAACTTCTCAAACTAAACAGTTTTCGCAGCTTAGCTGAACTGCTCCAACTTCATGGCTTCTCTTGTAATCGTTAACAATCATTTTGCATTGCTCAATCATTCGAACCGTCAGTGCATCTATTCCTGTCCTTCCAGCACTAATTCTATCTTCAGCAACCATGGATACAGAGGGCTGTTAACTGTTTGGCGTCACAGAGGAGAAGAAAGCTTGTCTAATTTATCTAATTGAATGGGAAAGACTTAAGCTTGGATGATAAGCCAGAACAACAATGATGAATTGATTATCTTGATTTCTCTTTTGCTTATGTTGATATGCTCTGGCCACACAATTACTTGCTAACCTCAACACGGGAAGCTCAGATGAATCCCAGACGAAAAGGCAAGATGATGTTGGAAAGATCCGGTGGAAAATATAGATGACACTAGTTTGAGACTTGAAGGAAAGATGAGGAGATAGGATGACCAACAAAAAAGCAAAGAGGAAGGAACCTGGGAATCAAGAAATCCCGGGAGCATGAGTGGGATTAAGTTACCTAAAAAAGAGTGGGCAAATAATGAATGCCAGGGGAACTTGGAATTCTCAGGAAACCTCGTTGAGAAACATATATATCAAACATAGTAAATTTAATTTCTTGACTAGAGTTTTCATAAAAATACAAGAAAAGAAAAGAAAATATTTGAACCAAAACAACAGCTGAAGGCATAACTGTGGTATATATCATCCGTGATACAAACAGACATGTTACCAAACCAAGGGAGGTGTTAAAAGTTAACGTGGTTAATGGCCATCAGAAATTCATTTTAAGCTTTTCACGGCCACTTAATATAATTTTCTCTCTTACCCAATAAGATTTCAAATAAACCTACACAACACAGCATTTCCATTGCTGCAAGTAACAGATAATACCACTGACAGTCCATATTAACGAACTTAGAGGCAGTATAACTCATCTAAAAGAAAACAACAACAGAGAGCAACAGCATTTGACTACTGTCATCTTCAAGGTTGTTGTTTATGTATTTTATATAGATAAACAAAGAACATAACTTCTTCCTTGTTTTGTTTTGTTTTAAATTAAAGACTGCTGTTGATATATGCAAGAAATGATTTTTTCGAGGGGGCAACCAATGAATTGTGAAATGTTTTAAAATACAATGGCACAGGTAAAGCAGCTTTCTAATTCTATACATCTCAGCTTCTCCCTATCACGGTCATGGCACTAGTATCTATTTACTCTACTTGCTAACACAGCATGACAATCAAGAAACAAGGTTAGCAAATTTGTCAGTTCAGCTTGACATACAGCTCCCCAACTTAAACTATCCCTTTTAAAATAAACAAACGAATGAATGAACAACACTTTGGTTTCTTGCTAACGGCAGATATTTAGCCCAATGAATGCAGTAAATACCTTGTTCCGAAGGCAATGAGATATCATGTTTTGCAATCAAGTTAGTTTTCCTATATTTCAATGCCCAGAGTTATGAAAGATGGCCCAAAAGCCAACCACCCTGTCCATTCAGTCGAAACAGATATACAAAAGATTAAATTCAATGAAAATAAAGAAGCAACCTTTCTCAGTCTTCCATTGTGTCAAATGAACACCAATTCAAATATGTAGTCAGATTAACAATTTTCCGGTTTTGAAAGTATTCCAAGAATACAATGATTAAATAAGAAATTAAAGCTGTCTTACATAACTTGAGTTGCTTGCAAATGAGAAAGCTGTGTTTTCTAACAGCTAGGCTCTAGTTGAAAATGGAAAATAGCTATACAAGTAAAGGAAATGGGCATTCAAAGAACTTGCCTCTCAGCAGCTTCAGCAACAATGGGCAATCTAGGGGCTTGACCCAGCAAGCAAGAAGAAGAACCATAAATCAAGCACACCAACAGGAACAAAAACACAGTGCTATCCAAACTCATCATCAAATCCAAGCCCAGGCCACCTCTTGGATTGAAGCTTCTCTCCAAGAGGTCAGGGAATATCAACAGCACATCAAGGACGATGGCTTGCATCGTATTGAACCTCACAAATCTGCTAAAATTAGGGTTTCTCACAACAACAAAGTAAAGAGTCAGGAATACCAGAAACCCATTGAAAGGGAAGCTCTTGAACACTCTTATTGCGGGAACCAGAGGCTGTACGATAGCTTGAACAGGATAAAACCGAGTGATGACGTACTTGCCATATTGAATACCGTCAAATAAAGGATAGAAATAACAAAGGGCTGAAATCAAACGGTCGGGAACGTCAACTGAGTCATCGCCGCCATTGGATTTGGCGATTATGAGTCTTCTGAACTTACAGGGATTCCTGAATTTGTCCGGAAGATTGTTTAGAGTGAGAAGAGAGGGATGTACACGGGAAAACAGGAAGGCGGATTGTGGTTTGGGAGAGAGGTTGATGGATGCCATTGGGGAAAGGAAGCTAGACCTGGCCATCGAAGAAAGTATGGAGGGGGCAGGAAAATTGGAAAATTGGGACAAAGATAAAGTGATTTTCTTCTATTTTTATCATTTTGGCAGTAAGTCAATGAAGAAGATTTTTCATGATGCTTTTTCCGTCTTAAAGTGAGCCACGACCATCACTCTTCAGACCTCAGATTCAGATGTTCCAGGCTCAAGTACTCCTTATTGTTACATACAAGGGAAAAAAAATATATCATACAGTTAAAAAAAATTACTTAATTATAATAATTATATTTAAAAATAAAAACTTAGACTAAAATGTCTTAAATTAATCAACATAGGTATACTAATTATTTTTTATTAATGTAAATTATGAGGAGTGACTTAAAAAGATGTATAATAAATATTTATTGAAATGTTTGATTTTATTTATAAAAAAATACAAATTAAAAGTAATGGTTTCTCTAATAATGAAAAATAAAAAAAAACATAATAAAATACCCACACTCATGAAAATTCAACCCGTCATTGAATATGTAAGGAATTAGCTGAAGGATTGGTGTTTGAAATTATAATCAAATAATCATTAACAAAATATTTTATTAAATTGATTAAAAAAATCATTGGCTCTATGGTTGGCCATTCAAATCGACCCATTTAATCAGTTTTTTCATCTTCTTCTTACCAGACTAGTTAAACTAGTTAAACTGTTTTGCAATACTATGCTTTAACAAATTATACAAGTTAAGTTTGGCTTATAGTCCTTTTTAATTTATACTGTGCTTGGTTTTGCACTCCAAAGTTATTAAATCAATCAAAATAATTGGTTCAATGGTTCGTCATTGAACTCGACCCATTTAACTGGTATTTTTTCTTCTTCTTATCATACTAGTTAAACTGTTTTTCAATATTATACTTTAACAAAGTACACAATCTAGGTTTAATTTATAGTCGTTTTTAATTTTTATTTTGCTTAGTTTATAATCCTTTTTAATATTTTCCATGTTGGGGTTATTTGTAGCTCTCTCAGCAGAGAAATCTGCATCCTTTTTACATAAGATGGTGATGTAAATGGTGAGAATATCTTAGCCCTGTCATTACTACATAGGGAGGCTCATGCGTGCATATCATGGGCTTGACTTGCACATTCTTTCTTCTACTTTCCCCGCCTCCGATCACGAGTCCCTGATCCCTCGATCATCTTTCTTCTAGCTTTTAGTTTTGTCTGGCAAAATTTTTTGTTCAATGGTTTACCATTCAACTTAACCCATTTAGCGGACCACTTAAACCGTTTTCCAATACTGTGCTTTAAGAAATTATACAGGCTAGATTTGAGAAAAAATGACAGAGGTCTAAGAAATTAATTAATTGAAACTAAGTCTTTAAGTTTCAAACTCTAAAAATTTATAAATTTATTTTTTAATTTTGTTATGATAAATTTACAACTTGTATTTCAAATTTTAACAGGAAAATTTAATTTATTTATTATTCAATCATATTAAAATTTTTAAAATAAATTACAAATTTATCACAGTAAAATTACAAAACTAAAAGAAGAATTTCTAAATTTTTAAAATTTAATTTTTGAAACCTAATTTTGAATTATTTTAGGTTGGTTGGGCCTAATGTCTTTTTTAAAAAGTAGCAAAAATTATAAATTATATTTTTAATAAAAATTTGTATAAAATTATAATTTTTACTAATAAACTCAAAAATATAAATAATTGCATTTAACTTTATTTGGGTCAATGGATTGAACTTATCCCCTTATTTTAAATAATTTAAATTTTTAAGTTATTTCCAAAAATCTAAAAATAAAATTTCAATTTTCAACTATTGTTGAATAAATATCAATTTTTGTGACTTTTCATTATCAAAATATTTTAAATGTAATGTACTTAAAATCTACTTTTCTTTTTAAATGAATAATGTTTTAATTAAACTATACATTTATTATGGCAATATAACTTTTATTTATTCTGCATTTTTTTGGCCTGCATTTCTGAATTCACATATTATTAAAACCTTGAAAAAAATATAATAATTGATTTCTATAGTTTTTTCAATTTTTTTTAGTCTTTATAAGTTTTATCAATATTTTCAGTCATTATAATTTTAAAAAGATAGGTGGCCTTTGTATTTTAAGTTCTTATTTTTTTAATGTTTTTAATCCCTATAATTTTGAAAGAATACGTAACCATTGTTTTTAATCTTTATAAGGATTAAAAATATTAAAAAATTATAAAAATTAAAAATAAAATCCAATAAAATCTTCAACTGTCTGTCATTTTTTCTAATGTTCCTAGTAATTAAAATAAAATTAGTAGCTAATACTCCTCTAGTCTTATTTACAAGACAGAGGGAAAAAATAATTCTATTAATAAAGGGCTTGTTAATTTTTAATAAATATCAATAATAACATTTAAAAATATTTTAGTAAGGATAAAGGTAAAAAATTTATTAAATTTTAAAATAAATTTAATAAAATTTAAAATTTTTATTTTAATAAAATATATTAAAAGTAACTTTTAAATAGCATTAGAAGTAGTATTGTGTCCATCCACATTGTGTATCCATCGATCTAAAAGATTTAAGTCAGGCCAGAAAACACCTAACATGCTTGAATGGCAAACACAAAACGGACGATATAGTGATTAAAAAATGGAGAAAATCAAGATAATATTTGTCAGGAATTGAAACAAATAAATTAATATCCTTCAATTAGTGGAAAGACTTTGTTTGACAAATACAAACAGGAACAATTATTGAAAAGCGCATAGAACAAAATGATATGTAACCAAGAAACCAAAATCAAAAGGGACGCCAACGTTCGACATCACGAAACCAGGAGAGACCAAAACCAGAAGCCCACACCACAGATTATAACCGAAAACCCATATATTGAATTTGCACCCGAAGCGTCACTTGCCGGACTCGATTCCGGAGATGAACTCGCCGGCGCAATTGCCGGCGAACTTCTGCTCGACGGAAGGGTTACTGGTGAGCCCGACGGTGTTTCCGAACTCGATGGGATACTAGCAGAAGCCTCAGGAGTTGCTGTGGCGGACGGTCCCTCGGCCACTGGCGAAGCCACGACTGGGCTGCTCACTGGAGTCGCCGCCGGGGTAGCAACAGGCGATGCAATCGTGGGCGAAGGAGAAGGCGGGGATGAAACCGGAGAAGACCCAGAAGACGGGCTGGAAGCCGGAGATACCGGATTAGGGGAATTCGCCGGCGGGGTTGAAGCCGCAGACCCAGATGGAGAAATGGTCGGAGGGGCGGAATGCGGCGATAATGCTGGAGACTTTGCAGGGGATGGCTTAGGAGACGCGGGGGATTTCTTCGGAGAAGACGCTGGAGAGGGTGGCATTGCCGTCGCAGGCGGGGTAGGATTAGGCAACGAGTTCGGTGAAGGAGAAGGTGCATTGTCTCCTTCTACAGAAACAGAGACTGAAGCAAACAGAGCAAGCACGAAGAGAAGAAGCAATCTGTTCATCTTGAGACTAATTTAAGAAATGGAAGGAGTAGATAGAGCGTGAAGAAGAAGAAGGCAGAAAAGTTTGCGGATTCAATGAAAGAAAGTGACTTTGTGGAAAAGAATGTTGGTCCGATGAATGAAGATGTGTGTGGAAGAGTATGACATATATAGAAAGAGGGGAGAGAGAGATGAAAGTTAGCGTTGTAATGGTTCGGAGCTTGGGATTGAATAGAAATTTGACCGTTACGGTGGTTCACCGGCGACTCCCGGTGAAGTAGCCGTTACTTACTTGGGAGGATCAAAGAACAATAGGTTAATGTCAATCTGACAACCTTCTTTTTAGTTTCTTAAATTAGTCTCGTCACTTGGATTTGGCAACAACGATGCTCATAAATGTGTCCCTGTTTTAGATCTGTTATTAAGCTTTTCAATCAATGACGAAGGTAATTAAATAATGTAATAACAAATACTCTGTCTTAAATTTAATTTTTTTTAGATACCTCAAGTCCATTTTTAATCAAAATCACTTGCTATTAATGAGGTAAAAAAGGATTATAAGCCCAGTGCAAGTGAGATTTAACTCGTTGCTTACTCCCTTGTTCCTAATTATAACGCACCCTTAACCAAATTATATTTTTAAATAAATTAGTTAATTGATTTTAAAATTATGCTATTTTTTTATATTTATTGTTATTTAATACTCTCCAATTCAAAATATAAACATTTTTTCTTAATTAATATTGGTTTAAAATATAAACAATATGATATATGTGAATTTTTTTATTTTACTTTTTACATTTATTAACCTAACTCCTTATTTAAATTTACCCCTCGCTTATTATGAAGTATATTGGAAATTAGGATTAGGAGTAAAAAGAAAATATAATGCATATTTTTATAGGAATTGAGACTTTATTAACATGCATATTTAAAAAAAAAATTATTTATATTTTGAATTGAAAAGGAGTGGGGTGCCTCTTCTAAATTTACAATGGGTGACTCTCTTAATGTTGCTACTAATAGAGCGTCCCTCACCCCTCCCTAGGGGAAAAAAGAACTGAAAGCGCTGTTATATACTCTTTTCAGATAATAATATAAATTGTTTTTTAAATTTTTTTTATTTTAAAATATAAAAACATTGAATATATATTATATATATATTTTAATTAAATCCTTATTTTATTGAGTAATAAACGGATTGTTTTAAGTAAATCAAATGTTATAATTAATAAACTTAATAACAAAGTTGGAAAGATGTAAAGATTTTTTAGAAAATCAAAATTTTAATTAACATTTTTAAAAAAATAAAATAAATAAATTAATAATAAATTATATTGTTGTTTAAAGGGAGTAATATATTTAAATTTATTTTTGTATTTTATCTTCAACAAAATTTGAAAAAGATATATATTGGGCTTTGTGAATTGGCCCGTGCTTGATGGGCAACCGAAGTCCCAAAGGGCCCAGATAATGTGTTGAACGTCATATATTGAAATTTGATCAGTTAATTATTGTTTTTATTTAAATAAGGGTGGGTAACAAAAATCACATCTTGATTACTTAAGTAGTAATTAATCGCTGAAAACATGTGAAGTGTATAACCTATCCAATAACATCAGTGTCGTGAGAGAAATGGAACACGTTTCATTTTGTAAGAGAATTGGACCGTGCTAATAGAAGACAAGCAATATTTTATTATTTTTTAAAAAAGAGTTTCGATTTATAAATACTACATGTCCAAAGTTCAATATTAAACTAATGATTTCAGAGGCTTTCTCTGGCTTTGTCTGTAACAACAAAAAATTCCAAAGTGCATTAAAAAAAAAAAATTCAAGTTTCGCTGTACACTTCTTCTATAAACAAGCGACTAAGACAACTTAGCTTCACAGCTTGCTATAGCAGCCGGGCCATAACCATCAGGGGCAAATTTTGCTGAAGACTAGAACCAAATACACCAAACATCGCCATTGTTGTTTGCTGCTTGTGTCTTCGAAACTATAACTCGTACAAAAATGGCGTCAAAATTTTTCAAGGAGAAAATGGAGACTTTTATTTTTTTCCCCGTTTCCATATGTAACTCATGGACATCAAAGAAAACTACATTAGGAGCATTATATTTGAGCAAGAATGCTCAACCAAATGGGTATATATAGTGTGAGGGCATGGTTTGCAAGGCGATTCGAACTCAGACTGGCCTCTCTGCAGGTTTGATCCATGACAATTTGCTAATTTTGATTTAGCAAGATCCTAATGCTTCCAACGAGACTAGTTTGAGAGATTGAATTAATTCGCTTACTTTTTATCTTTTGAATGGCACTACACAAAAATATCAGAGACATTGAATGGGCGGGTCATACCAGGCCCAAAAGCCATGTTATATTAAATTCAGTCATTTTTTATAAGCTCAACTTTTCTCGCCTGGTCTCGGGACGGGGCCTCAAACCAGTTTTATGTTTATATCCATTTTTTAAAAATTTTAAAATTTAATTTTATATTATAATATTACATATTTATTTACTAAAATAAATTATAATGTTCAAAAAATTAAAATTAAGTAATATAAATTCTAAATTTAACTTAAAACTTGAAAATATCTCATTTCTAAGAGGAAAATTATATGTGGGTCTCAACAATTAGCTTGGTTTTGATTCTGTTTTTCAGAGTTAAATAAGTCAAATATAAAAAATTTATATATAAAAATACTTTAATTTTCAAAGACAAGCACTAAAAAAAGAGCTTAAACATGTAGCTTGCAAGCCCATTCTATATTTCAAACTTTAAAATGTATCTTTAAAATGATGTGTTTAAAACTTTTAACTTAGGCCGAGTGTAGTTCATCATGAATACCTCCAAAGCTTAACTATCATTAAATTAATTTTTCAACGTCAAAATGTTATTTTCCCTTTTGTTAGTTAATAAACAAAGTTAATATATTATAACTATAATATAGTTTTCCTCAAACGCATAAAGACTAAGTACTAGACAGATAGGCGTTTCACTTTGATGCTCATCAAGTGGTGTGCATCCATACTGTCCAAATTTTAAGATTTTATTTTTATATTTTTATTTTATATTTATAATAAAAAATACAAAATTTTAATAAATCTATCCCGTCATCCATATAAAAGAATACAGATTTAATCTAGATATTTCACTTTAATATTAAAATTTTTTATAATTTTTAAAAATTAATTATTTGGACAGTCTGAATATAATAATAATTTTTTATAATTTTTATTTTAATAAATATAATATTAAACATAAAAATAAATATAATCTTCAAAACTGATATTTTAAAAAAATTAAGAAAAATTTTCAACTTAAAAATTTTAAATCTAAATTGTCCAAAGTACATTTAAATAACTAATTTATAAAAATATAAAAATATTTAATATTAAATTAAATCATTCAAATTAAAATTGTGCTATTTAAATTGATAATAAAATAAATTTATTATTATTTAATATAATTTTTTAATAAATACAAAATTTATAAAGTTGTATAGTTTAAGTTAAAAAGTTGGATGCTCTAGATTGCACAACCAAAGCCAGATGCAAATGGATAGTCAACACACTTGCACGCACCCTAATTGACATTGAAGACTTATTTATGTGTTATATAATTTAAAAATAATTTTTATTTTTAAAATTTAAAATGTTTCAAAAATTAAAATGACATCAAATATAATTCGATCATCTTTTCTCGAGAAATTTACAGAACTCACTCCTATTTTTTTTATGAACGATTTACTTTTTTTTTGCCAAAAAAATCATTTTATTAATATTAAAAAAAATGCATACGTCGAAGCCAACAAAAACACCTAAACATACAACCTAACATGCAAACTCACTAAAGGAAAAAAAAATAAAAAAATAATATAAAAATACTAAACAATAACCTGTTCAACCAATTCCTCCTTTCTTCTTCTCAGTTCAAACTTCAAACAAAATCCATTTACGAACAATTTACTTCTAAATTTTAATTTTTAACTACAGCCGACAGGCAAGCAAGATGGGAAGAGGGGCAAATAGCACAATAAAGAAAATAAGAGAAACAGAGGGAGTATATAATGAAAGAAAGGGGCACGCGAGCAATATCCTAAGAATTGGCTTTTATGAAGGGAGAGAGAAGGTGAGAGAAAGAAAAGTAAGAACTGGGACATCGAATTACGTCGCGAGATTCCAGATTAGGGTTTGTGAGTGTCTGACTCATTTGCACAGGCGTACCCTCTCTTCGTTTTCTCGTTAGCTGGTAAGATCCCGCACTCTCTCTGCGCTGCTTAATCGCCCATAAATGTTTCTTCTCGATTTGTGAAAATAAAGGATTCCTCACTGCAATATAGATTTGGGGGGAAGAAGAAGACGAACAGGACGTGATAGAGTTAGGGAAGTGCGATGGACGAAGGCGAGGGAGGGTACGGTGAGAGTGGGGATCCGATGGATCAGTTTCATCGCAACGAAGCGATATCAGCTGTAGCTGATGATGGTTTCTTGGCCGAGGAGGACGACGATTACGAGGACCTTTACAACGACGTTAATGTTGGGGAAGGGTTTCTTCAGTCTTTAAGAAAAAACGAGGATTCCGGGTTTCGGAATGAGGAGGTTGAGGAGAAAAAGACTCAATCAGTCGCGATGCCGCCGGAAACTGGTGGCGTTTCTATACCAGGTGTCGGTGTCGGTGGTGGTAGCAGTACTGGTGGCGAGGTCGCTGCCTCCGGGGTTATGGATGTCGCGCCCAGGGTTCCAGGGAGAGCAGATGGGATTCAAAATCAAGGGTTTAGAGGGAGTGAGATGGGTGTGAAAGGTAGTGGTGGATCGGGTACCTCTATGGGTGGTGGAGGTGGGATGAGGGTTGAATTAGGGCAACAACCGGGCAAGTTGAATGAGATAGAGGAGCAGAGTGCGAACAACAGTGTGGCAGTACAAGGCATGGGGCAGCAACCTCATGGCGGAGTTGTTGGGAATGTGGGAAATGAGAATTTGATGAGGCAAGGTGGTGGTGGAGGAAATCTCAATAGGGCTGGTGGCAATGGGGTTGGAAATAACGCGAGTGGTGTCACTGTTGTCAATACTGGAGGAGGAACTGTTATTCCGGCTGCTGGTGGTGGTGGTGGTGGTGGTGCTGGAAGTGGTGGTGGGGGAACCATTTTATTTGTTGGTGATTTACACTGGTGGACTACTGATGCTGAGTTGGAGGCAGAACTTTGTAAGTATGGGCCAGTGAAGGAGGTGAAATTTTTTGATGAGAAGGCTAGTGGGAAGTCGAAAGGGTATTGCCAGGTTGAATTTTATGATCCTTCCGCTGCATCTGCTTGTAAGGAAGGAATGAATGGGCATATGTTTAACGGGCGACCGTGTGTCGTTGCTTTTGCTTCTCCTTTTACTGTCAAGAGAATGGGAGAGGCTCAGGTGAACAGGAATCAACAGATGGCCCAATCTGCCGTTTCTCAGACAAGGAGAGGACCTGCTGATTCCGGGGCTAAGACGGGTGGGAGTAACATCACTACTGGTGGAAACTACCAAGGTGGAGATGGCAACCGAGGCTATGGAAGAGGTAACTGGGGAAGAGGGAATAATCCTGGGATGGGAAATAGGGGCCCTGTTAATCCAATGAGGAATAGGGGTGGAATGGGGGGTAGAGGTATCATGGGTAATGGTGGGAATGGATTTGGACAAGGAATTGGTGCCACCCCACCTCTGTTGCATCCCCAGTCAATGATGAATCAGGGTTTTGATCCTGCATTTGGTGGGCCTATGGGTAGAATGGGTGGCTATGGAGGCTTTCCAGGTGGTCCAACTCCTCCATTCTCTGGCATTTTGCCTTCTTTCCCTGCAGTTGGCGGTGTTGGTTTGCCTGGAGTAGCACCTCATGTTAATCCAGCCTTTTTTGGAAGAGGGATGCCCATGAATGGCATGGGGATGATGTCCACTTCAACAGTTGATGGGCCTAATATGGGAATGTGGTCAGATCCAAGTATGGGTGGATGGGGTGGTGAAGAGCATGGTGGTGGGAGGGCTGGAGAGTCGAGTTATGGGGAGGAAGCTGCGTCAGAACATCAATATGGTGAGGTGAGTCATGATAGAGGCGGTTGGCCAAATGCCATGAGGGAAAAAGATAGAGTATCAGAAAGGGACTGGTCTGGCTCTTCTGAACGAAGGTACAAGGATGATAGAGATCAAGGATATGAGAGAGATGCACCTAGAGAGAAAGACATGGGGCAAGACCATGAATGGTCTGAAAGAAGACACCGTGATGAAAGAGAAGCAGGTCGTGAACGTGATAGGGAGCGTGACCGTGATCGTGAACGGTCTCGAGACCGTGACCGTGACCGTGAAAGGGATCGGGAAAGAGACCGTGATCGTGATAGGTACAAGGAAGAAAGGGACAGATATGCTGACCATCATAGGTACAGAGATCGTGAGGCAGACCATGAGGATGAGTGGGAACGGGGACGGTCATCAAGGACTCACAGCAAGTCAAGATTATCACAAGAGGACGATCATCATTCTAGATCTAGGGATGCTGATTATGGAAAGAGGAGACGTCTTACATCTGAGTAACTTAATATGATGCTTAATATTTCTAATATTTTTGGGATAACTTTCCGTTGGGGAAGAAAAGAACAGAAGCTGAAAATTAAGGATTTGTCATGGTTGGATTGACTCTGGTTGCCCTCCTCTGGTCCAGAACTTGTTGAGCAGCTGTTTTGTTTCAATCTATTGTCCTTGTTACCTCTCATCTGAAGCTTGCTTTGTACTTCTGTGAGAAAGGTTTGTTCTAGGATTCAAGATTTATTCTTCATTCTTCAACTTCTTGTTGTTTGTGATAATTTTCTTTGTGCATATCCTGGTTAAATTATACTCATGCATTTGGCTAAGATAATCAAATCCTCACATAGCTGATTAGTACTTTTCTATTTTCTTTACTTTACACCTTTTCCTTTTCCATCTCAATACATAAACGTCAGTAGTGTGTCATGTTTTGGTGGACTTCTCCTTCGATACAAGGCTGATGGTGGCTGAAACTCATGATTTTGACTACTGATAGTGACAAGCTAGAGAAAACTACTGTTATCTGTATTTAAGCTTTTGTGCTGAATTTGCTGATTATGGAAGTTGGGTGTATTTTTAATACTGATTCTTTGACAAACAGACATCTGAACCTGGAATCAAATAAGCGATGTTGTTAGCCAAAGACAACCTTAATTTGAGCATAACTTGTTGGGGTATTTTATATATAGACTCAGTAAGAACCAAATATTAATCGATAGTGCATATAATAGATTTGAACATCCTGTTAAATGTGCCTTGTGTTATTTGATGTGTTTATCCGTTTTTTTTTCCCTTGTATTAGTAATCTTTTCTAGAAATTCAGCTCAAGCTTCTTCAGAATTCTGCCTTTAAATTTCATTTCCATAGTCTGCATAGAGATTATAGTCAAGTCTCCATCATTCTGCTCTTTACCACTTTTTGCCCACATGATCCTGCACATACGAGGTTGTGTGTGTTGCTTTCCTGCCTCTGCTGTTGATGTTGAAGATGTTGAGTAAGATGATTTTAGCCTTGATGTCCGAAAGTGCATGTGCTCAGGTGGCTTTTTAACTGTTGATTCTTGGTTAAGTAGAAATTAGTATTCTACCCACAAAATGGTATTGCAGTTTTCAATAATTTTCTTTGATTAATCGAGAGAACTCAAGGAATTTATACGTGGATTCAGCTATGCATAAATTTTAGTCTTGTTCTGCAGCCATGATATGTATATTTCAAGCTATGCATAAATGGGTATTTGTATGCCACCCACTAAAAGCTCTTCTGTTTTGAACAGTTCTCTCTTTAATAAGAGAATTCAAGAAATTTATATATATGGATCTGGCTATGTGTATACTTTAATCTGGTCATGTAGCCTTAATATGATATGCCAAGCATTTAAGTGCAGCGCCCCCCCCCCCCAAAAAAAAAGAAAAGAAATTATCCCCCAGCTCAAATAAAAAAATCTGGCTCTCTCTCTTTCTCCACTTTCTCCTTAATGTTTTAATATGTGTAGGGCATTACCTGCTGCTGATCTCTTGCTGATTATATGTTTGAGTAGAAATGGCTAAATTAGTTTTGAATAGAAGTTATGGGTTTTGGTGATAACCTTAAATGAGATTACAAAAGCTTGAAGGGAATTAATATTCTAGAATTGCTTATTTCATAATGTTTGAGTTACAATTAATGTTTTTTTTTGGGTGCAATATACAGAAAATCTTTCTGATTCTGTCCTATACAGAATATTTTACTGCATGGCTTTGTTTCAATTTGAGATAGAGTTTTATAACTTGCTGTATTCAGAAATAATGTAGCTGAAAACGAGTTTTGGGGTATGGGGATAAAATTTAGGCTTTAATTGAGGAAAAAATTGGAATGTGGCTGACTTGAATATTTGAACTTGCTTTGATGGCATGGAGTTGAAGAAAAGTTGAGGGTTTGTGTATTAGTCTAAAAGAACGCCTTTTAGATTTTCTGATGATTGGTGTTTGACTACGGATGGAGGACAGTATATCTCTTTTCCTTTTATGTGAAATGTACCTTTATAGCCTCTTCTTAATGTTGATGTCTTCTGAATTCCAACTTCGTTGTTGCGGGTTTCTCTTTTATTTAGGGACAATTGTATTGAGAAAGGAAGCTGTTCATTCAAACTCTGGCTTGCTTTGGAGATCAAGTGGGACCTTTTTGAGTGTGAAGAGACAAGTCATGACAATCCATTGCCTACATTGAAAAGTGGAACATTTGCTATGAAGTTATTAGCTTTTGTTTTGGATTTATGTTTAGTTCAAATGATAAACCAACGTTGTTGATGTATTGGGTTGAACTTGTGGAAGTTTGAAATGTGGTAGACTACTTTGAACTTGATGTATGACATGTGGTAGACTATTTAGAACTATATGTATGATTGATGTATTAGGGCTTAGCTGAGGATGCTTGTAATGTGCCTTTTCTGATTTGCTGGCTGTTGTATCATTTCTTCCCAATTTTTGTGTTTTACCCCCAACCTTTGTTAGCATACCACACGGATGAGCATGCGATTTTTGTATACGATGTAGAGGGCTAACCATTCAATTTTTGTAATCATTCATAACCAGAGAATTGTATATCCTGTCATGTATATATTGATGTAATTTTTTCACGATATATTCCGTTTGTCCAGTCCTTCAGTTCTGTTTTATTTAGCTATCTTGTTTATAAGTAGTGAAAAAGAGTCTTAACTATTGTTTTTAGATTGGAGAACATACTTCTTATGTTGCTACATTTTGTTTGGCTTGTTTTGTGCCATGACAGTTTCTTGAAGGGAATTTGTTTGTTTGTATTTTGGAAAGTTATTTTAGAAGTTGTAATCAGACTTAACATGTTCGGTAAGCTTTTAAAGTGATTAGTTAGGTGATGTTGATTTGTTTTTTTTTTTTTAAAGGGAGAATTTCAATTAGATCTTACACAGAAAATTTAATTACTGTAAGATTCATTGACAATTGAAGTAAATTGTATTGACAACTTAACTAATTTTCAGTGTAGTTTAATTTAGTTGTCAATGAACCTTCCAGTAATTAATTTTATGTGAAACTTTAATGTAATTTTCTAAAAAAAATCACTTCTGTTTTTATTTGCGGATTAAATGTTTAAAATCTTTGTCCAAGTGAGATCTTTTATGATCATGTTATTCTTGTCCAAGGATTATTCTCTCTTTACATCTATACACTTAAAAAGATGTGTTTTTCATCTCCTTAGATTTCCTGAATCCACATTCCTGATTTAAATGGTTTCCTGAAGCCTCAAAGGCAAGCGCTTGCATCAATTGACTTTCTTTACAAATCCCAAGTGTCTTTGATTGTGTATTTCCTGAACTGCACTTACCCTCCAGTGGCGATGATCTATATGCATTCAGATTGTTCAATATGGATATGCTTATTCTCAGTAGGGGCATTTGACCTGATTGTTGATTCATGGGAAATGCAATTGTAGACAAAGGTTATTAATTATTTTGATCACTCCAGTTCCACCTATTTGACAGGTCCAGCAAGTGCCTATTGTATTTCCATAATCTTCTCTCACAAGTGACAAATGTTTCCCATGTTCTTTTAGACTTAATGCATAATGTGCTGATTGACTGAGCTATATTGAAAATGAGGACCTCAACTGCATAGGTGATAAAGTGTGTTGTATTGTGCATTGACCTATGAGGCTATAAAGTGGCCCACTCTTAATGATATAAATCTAAATTAATGGAATCTGTCATTCATTCTGATGCGGATGATAGATCAATTATGTAACTTCACAGAAAATTAGTGGTTCACTTATTTTGGAATGCATGCTTTATTTGTTTATATTAGTTTTTGAAATGTTTTTATTTGTTGTTGCTAGATTTAAATGTTTATTGATAATTGTAATTTGTCATGTCAGTGAGTTTTACATGCGTGAAATCACACAAACCACGTCCAGGCGATGCTCGTCATTGCATTAGTTTTAACGATTGAAGATATACATGTCTACTGCACGGTTTAGCACTTTAGCTCGTCAAACTTCACCTTTTTTCAAATAATAAACTTGGGTAACGCTAAGCTTGTGGAGAAGATCACTCCTAAGGAAAAATTTGAGCCTCCAAAAGTTGTGTATTTGGTATAATTTGTTATACGTGGAACCTTACGCATCATGAATGTGGTTGTTGCCACATGTAGTGACAATGTGGTTAACTTGAGTGTTTGTTTATGTGAGGGTGGGGGAGACTTGGTCCATGAATTTAAATCCAATTTCTTTTAATAACTATCTAGCATTCAATACTATAGAGTTTGGTTCTAGTATTGTTGAGTGAAATTTAGAGAAGCCAAATATAAATTTGGTTAAACTTTAAAACTAGTTGATACCTAAAATAGTGAAAAATTTTGAAAGGGGAAAAAAAGGAAGGAAAATGATAATAAAATATTTTTGACTTATGTAAATGACAACTTGGTTTTTCGAAATGCCAAAATATCAATGAAGTTTTTAAAAATTTTTTGTCAATAATTTTTTTTAAAAAGACCATTTCACCCTTATTAAGAAATTACAATTTCTTGTTCAATGTAATTCTTTGAAGAAAAATTATGATTCTTTAAATTTTGAGAGCTTGTTTTTCAATAATAAAAATTATATTTGACAAATCATAATTTTTGGTTCAATTCTTACGATTTATAAAATAAAAGTTATTTCTTAAATAAAAATTATAATTGAGATTTATTTTTTAATAAAAAAAATTACACTTGACACATTGTAATTTTATGTTCAACTCTTATTATTTACAGAACAAAAGTTGTGACTGGGTTTTGTTATTTTTAATAAGGGTAAAATAATTTTTTTTAAAAAAAGTTATTGACAAAGAGATCCTTGATGACTTCATTAATATTATGAAATTTTGAGGGATCACATTGTTATTTTCATAATTTAAAAATATTTTATTGTCATTTTTTTAAAAAAGAATGAAAAGTAATTTTACGGTTTAAAATTGGAAAATAACGGAGAGGGCTTCAAGTAACATCAGTATTAATTTCGGTGGGCCTGCTCGAGCCCAAATACCTTGGGGGTTCGTAGCATTTAGTGTCACTTCTTTTGTGTATATATCTATAAGGGTGTCAGATAGAAGTCAAACCATTGTGGGCACTAGTCTCCATTCCGCCACTCACATGTACAATACAATCACAATTGGTCGAAGTAATTTTATATATAAAAAAAAAGGGTCCAATAAATAATTCCACGAGATCATATGATGCCCTTATATATAGTTAATAAGGATATGACTTATATCTCAGAAGAATATTAGTTTGAATTATATTACTGATACAAGAATTTTGTTAGTGAATTATTTTTGTAAGTATTTTTATAAAAAAAATTTAAATAATCTTGAAACATATCCCTAGCCCCCCAGTGTGTTTGGAGAGTCACCTCACTCAATTTTTAAAAGCTACATGCACATTTATGCTACTCGGTTGGAAATATGATTTCCTACGTTTTCATTGCAATTCCAAACGCAGCCTTAGAAATATCTATCTATTTGAAAACTTGCAACATTAAAAGGATTAACTTACATAACGTCCAGAATTTTTGAGAGAGTTACAGAATTTTAAAGTGTGAAAATATCTGAAGTTAATAATATTTAGCATCTTGGCCATTAATTACATACCAACATGCACTTTGGAATATATTATTATTAATAACCCTTTAGCTCCTTAAAATTTTGAGAAAGTGAATAACGGATTCAATTAATTCAAATTAATTAAGCCTAACTATAAAATTATATATAATAAAAGTTTATTTTCTATTCATAAATTGTACATTAATTTAAACTCCCGAATGTAATATCGCTATATATCATGAAAAGAATTACCATGAATATTTTTGTGTAAGAACTAAGGAGAATATGAATCCCAAAATTATTATCCTAGTCCAGGCCATGCTACAACACTTCTTTTCCTTCGGAATAGGCACTCAAAAGCATATATAAGAAAAACCTACCAATTATAGATTAAAGAGTTCAACCAACATAAATTTCCCACTCTAATGAAGCACCATATATAATATACAAATTATGAAAAATATTGAAAATTAGTATAACACTGAAATTCCTCAGCCTCAGATGTCAGGACAAGATATCATCAAAATGCCTATAAATAACTCCATCCTTGCCAACACATAACTCACCTGATCTCTATCTTCTTTAATTTTCGTAATGGAGCTTCAGTCCCCATTCTTTCCCGGCGTTTTCACGACTGTGAGTCTTCTCTTTATCATGTCATTGATCTCAATCCTATTCAGAACCCAGAAGAACCTTAACCTTCCCCCAGGGCCATGGATGCTTCCTCTACTAGGAAGCATACACCATCTTCTTATTGGCACTTATCAATGTCCCTGCATCACCCTCAGAAATTTAGGCTAGAAGCCTCTAATGTACCATTCTCTAATGCTTCTTGTAATGTCTCAATGTCTCAATTTTGTTTTTTATTTTTCTTTGGATCATCGGCTTTTACATAAAATAAGAGACATTTGGATATCTTGATATTTCAAAATGGTGAAGATTTGTATTTTTTATGATTTTTCAAAAATAAAAGGGTGTATTTATAATATTTTTCTTTAAAAAATTATAAAAAATACAAATCTTATTTTTGAAAAATCATAAAAAATACAAATCTTCATCATTTTGAAATATCAAGATATTCAAATGTCTCTTATTTTATGTAGAAGCCGATGATTCAAAGAAAAATAAAAAATAAAATTGAAACATTGAGACATTATAAGGAGCATTAAAGAAGGGCACATTAGAGGCCCCTAATCCCAGAAACTTAGCTCAGAAACATGGCCCTCTCATGCATCTCAAGCTTGAAGAAAGATCAACCATCGTGGTTTCTTCCCCTGATGTTGCCAAACTAGTGTTCAAAACCCACGACCTCATATTTGCTCAAAGACCCAATCTTCTCAGTGCAGAAATCTTCCTGTACAATTCCACTGAGATTGCTTTTTCCTCCTATGGAGTCTACTGGAGGCATCTAAGGAAACTGTGTACGCTCCAATTGTTCAGTCCCAAACGAGTGAGATCAGTCCAATCCATAAGGGTAACAGAAGTGGGAAAGCTTGCAAGAGACATTTCTACCAACATCGGGTGTGCAGTGAACCTCGGGTAGAAGATCTATGCAATGACGTTCGCGATCGTTACGAAAGTAGCTTTTGGGGATACTTGTAAAGATCAAGAGGCGTTTATTTCCGTTGCGAAGGAGATGGTGACGATGGTTCGGCTTCAGGGTTTCTCCGTCAACGATATGTTTCCTTCACAGAAGTGGCTTGATGTGATCACCGGCGAGAGACGGAGATTCAAGGAGATTCACCGGAAATGTGACGCGCTCCTTCAGAAGTTCGTCGACGAGCGAGTGTCAAGGAGTAGGGACGAAGATGGAACAGATCAGAGTCTTCTGTGTGATCTTTTGTACTTGAGAGATGACAGTGGATCAGAAGGATTATCTCGCGTGACCATCAACAACGACAAAGCCGTGATTCTGGTAACGAACTTTGCATGCAAAAGTTTCGTGTTTATAACGCGCTTTTCTTGTCTGTAATTGTTCAAGAATGACTCGGGCATCGCTGTTATTTTGTCATGTTATATAATATATGAACGAAAGAGTCTGATTTATCATTGATGTTGAAGATGCTCTTGCTGCATGATAACAATGGTTAATTCTCAAATCCACGCAGGACGTGTTCATTGCTGGAACCGATTCATCGTTGACACTGTTGCAATACGCAGTTCTGGAATTGCTAAGAAACCCAGGACTGCTAAAGAGGGCACAAGCAGAAGTGAGACAAGTGTCCAACAAACAAGGTCATGTGAGAGAAGAAGAGCTTGATGAACTCAAGTAAATGAAAGCTGTGTTGAAGGAGACCATGAGGCTTCACCCTCCATTGCCATTATTGGCTCCAAGAGAGAGCAGTGAGAGTTGTGAGATTAATGGATTCACAATGCCCCCAACAACCCAGATGCTTGTGAATGCATGGGCCATTGGGAGGGACCCAACTTGGTGGGACAGAGCAGAGGAATTTGTGCCAGAGAAGTTCTTGGAGTCTGAGATTGATTATAAAGGTCTGAACTTTGAGCTCATCCCTTTTGGAGCAGGAAGGAGGATTTGCCCTGGAATCACTCTTGCTCTTGCTAATGTTGAGCTTCCTCTTGCTAATCTTCTGTTCCACTTCGACTGGCAACTTCTTGATGGGCACACCACTCTTAATCAGGATTATCTCTTCGCCATTCCTGTTTCTCAGCATCTTGCCCCCTCTTCAAGGGACAATTGCGTCTCGTCGCCTATTACATCTGAGCAGTGCAAAATATAACTAAAATAGTTGTCATTTTGTTCTGCTCAATTCTCAGTGAACTATTTAATTGTCTTGTTAAGGAATTTGGTGTAATTCTCCCCTATTCAATCACACAAGGCTATTGACTAATCGTCATTAATTATTAATGTATGTGTGTATTGCTGCACTATTTTATGTCTTTTTTTTCCCAATTTTATGGTGCGATGAAGGGATTGTTGTTGTTCCTTGGCTGAGATTGAATTGTAATCATTTAAATTTCAAATTAATGTGTCATAGATGGGTAATTAAGGTCTTAAGATAAGTTGCTCTATGTAAATTTTTGAAAAAATTAATCTTTTAGTTCTACAACTTTTAATTCACTTATAACTTAGTCCTTCAATTATGACTCACTGTGACTCAATCCCTCAACTATGACTTGCTTATGACTCTATCCCTCAACTTTTGAATTACTTATAAATTAGCTCTTTAACTTTTATTAATTTTTTTCATGTTAGCTTATATCTCACATCAATGAGCAAGAAGAGGGTATTTTAAAATAATATATGAGCATATTTTTATCCCTCTTATTTGATAAAAAAATTTTTAAAAAATTTAAAAAATAAGGATCGAATTATAAATGAATCAAAAGTTGAGAGATTGAGTCGCAGCAAGTTATAGTTGAAGGACTGAGTCGCAGTGAGTCATAGTTAAAAAACTGAGTCACAAGTAAGTTAAAAGTTGAAGAATTAAAAGATTAATTTTTTTAAATTTTTTTATTCATAATCTTCAAGACATCAACTGAATTTTAGTTATGTAACGGAGCACATGCCATATCATGATAATAGAAGGGGATTGATAATTACAAAAAATAAACTAGAGAGACTAAACGCAAAATACGATTAGAAGGGTTTTAGAGTAATATTTTCTCAGAAAAGAATGACCACAAAAATCAACGGATATTTCTATGGTCTTCTTCAGATATAAAATTATTCGTTATTATTTTGAGTTGAATGCTATGGAGAGAAAAGTGAAGGAAGGAGAAAGTGAGGAAGAAACAATTTTTTTTTTTTTGCTTGGTTATAGAGAGAAAAGTGAGAGAAAAATAGTATGTGAAACCCATATATTTTTACCTCTAATTTTTCTCCAAATATGAAAAAAAATTGGACAGACAATTTTTTTTAAAATTTACTCACCAGTTTTTTTATTCATCTCTTATTTCCTTTCATTTTTATCATGATTCTTGCAGTGTAGTTATATGTTGATCATAAATATTTGTTAAACAAGCTGTATATTTAACTTTTAAATTAATTAAAAAATATTAATTCTAAATTTTTAGGTTAATTTTCAATTAAGTAGCTTATATTTGGTTGTAGTGTCAAATTATAATATTATTATACATTTAACAATTTAATAAATAAAATTTTAAATTGGATAAAGTAATTTTTTGTTAGCATTGAATAAAATAATTTTTAATTACGTTTTTGTTTAATCAATAATATATAATAGAAATTATTATACATAATATGTTAATTGGATAAAGTAATTTTTTGTTAGCATTGGATAGAATAATTTTTAATTATGTTTTTGTTCAATCAATAATGTATGATAGAAATTATTATACATAATATATTAAAATATTAAATTTTATTATATAAATATTTTTATAAATAATAAAGTTATTATTGTCAACATAAAATTAATAAATTTTCTCTCCTTTATATTTTCTCACACTTAGCCAAATAAAAATGAGAGAAAATTGCATTCATGTACTTTTCTCCTATCTTCATTTTTTCTGTTCCCATTTTCTTTCCTTCATATTTTCCCCGCACAGAGAAAACATCATAACTTTAATCAAAGTATTAAACATTACTTCTAATCTCAACTATGTGTGTGTCTGTGTGTGTAATTAAGCAGAAATAATTGTTTCACAATGTTAAAAAAGTTAATTATTTCTCTTAATTATATATGATATTGATTTTTTTCCTTAGATGCCCCTGTTGACAATGATATGGTCATTTACTACACTCATTTCGAATTTTGAATGAGGAGCGCAATTAAAAACATATTAATTAATTTATACTTAAAGTTGGTGGCTTTTCCTTACTATAAATGATTAAGAGGGTTAGAGGTGTCAATTAGGGCCGGTTCTTCAAGGACCAGGGCCTAAACGAGATGGCTTTCTTAAACTCAATTACACCTTAGGGCTCTATTTTTAGCAACTCGGCCCTGGCCTTCAGGGCTGAAAGGTCGGCCCTCAGAGCCTCGGCCCTATTTATTTATTTTTTTAATTTTTTAATTTAAAAATTTAAAAAAATATTTAAAATCCTGACAAAATTATTACACATCATATTAATTCTAGAAAAATAAAATAAAATCAATTCACACAATAAAAATTTGAAGTCTGATAAAAAAATAACATCTCAAAATCAACTCCAACATCAATTACACGTTGGTAGCATCATTAGCTAAATCTTAATGATTTTTATCATCATCAATATCAATATGATTTGATCATTCTCCTTGTAAATCCTCGTCAATGGCAAATATGTTAAACTTTTCATGTCTCTTTTTTCATCCTCATTATTTGCAATAAATAATAAATCAAAATCATAATTTTAAATTATTTAAAGAATGCAAAAATATTCAAAGTAAGCAAATAATAATGTGCGTGTTTACTGTCTAGACTAGAGAGTGAGTGCTGAGTCTGAATGATATAGTGTCTTTTTTATATATATATTTTTACGTTATTTTTTGAAAAAAAATATATAAAGGTTTAAAAGGGTCGACTTTTTTATTTTCAGGCTTAAAAGGGCTCAAAGATTGAAGTAGTAGCTTGACCCTTAATTTTTTCAAGCTTAAAAAAGCTAGTCCTATGGGCTCTACTTTATTTGACGGCTCTGAAGAGGTGGTTGACAATGTTGCTAGGCCAAAAAAAAAAAAAAACGAATCTAACAAAAGTTGTTCGCTCGGTTGCCACCTAAAATAGTTGTTGACCCTATTGGAAAGACTAGTGGCTTGATGTCACAATGCTAATTAACTCAGTAAGGTTTAAATAAAAATCTGGTGGCCGGAGAGATAACCAGTTATGAGGTTTCCTTAGCATGGTGTGTATATGTTGACTTCATGCAATGACCAAAGACAAAAAGAAACCTCAGACCTCTCTACATGATCTACATTATCATCTCCCTCGCCATTTTTTCATTCCATTGCCTGATATATTAAAAAACATGATATGAGGTATTATCATCTTCTGTCTAAACTAATAAGAATTTTCATTATGTGAAACTGTATCAATAACAGCTTCATGTATTGATATTTTAGAAATACCTTTAATATATTTATTTAAAGTGACCACATATCTTAAAACTTGAATGTTCTAGAATAAATTAATTCAACTCCTACAATCAGTGGAATCAAGCATTCCTTGATCTCCCTTGCCATTTTTATTTGCCTCTTCATTGGGTAAAATCTAACCATATATGTTGATCTTATGGTTGCAATATGCCTCATGACTTAGGACTTGCTTATGGCGCACGTGTTTGAATTGTTATTTATATTTATATGATCATGATCTAGGAAACGTTAGCCCATTGCTAAAGATATACTTGTGTAATGCGTTGGTCAGCATTTTAGCTTTTCAAATTATAAGATTGTATTTCAAAAAGTAATATCGTGATGAAAATTTATATGGAAGAAAACTTGATTCAAGAAAAGTTAAAAAAAAAAAAACTTCCGAAAATGAAAGTGGAATAAAAAACATGGGAAGGAAAAATTTTAAAAAGATAATATTATAAAAGGCCATGGGACCTACTATGCGTTGAAAAGTAATATAATTGATGCATAAAAAAAATGACAATGGAACTCATTTAAAAAAAAACAAAAACAAAGGCATGCTTTTTTAATTTCTATTCTCATTTTTCATTTTTAAAAACTGTTTTGAAATACAGTTTTTAAAATTTTTTTAAATAAAATAAAATGAAAATTCATTTGGTTATGTCTATTAAAAAATAACTGATAATGATAGTTATAAATAGTTAATAGTGATAATTAATAATATAAATTGATAAAAATAATTATAATTTTTAATAATTAAATGTAGTGTATTTTAAAAATAAAAAAATAAAACAAAAATAACTTGAAGTTATTTCTATTTTTGTTATCTTTAACAATAAAAAATGAAATTTTTTTAGAAATAATTAAATAAAAAATACTTATCCAAACAAGCTTTTACATTTTTATTTTTAAAAATAAAAAGTAATTTTTAAAAACAGAAAACAAACATGCCCATGGATAAAAAAGCTCAAACAACAAAATGGGAATACTACTATTCATATTTACTATATCTAACATTTAGATATAAGATTGAAGATTGATGCTGTGGGGCTATTTATGGCTCATTTGAAATTATTTTTATTTTATTATTTTAAGAACTGATATTTTGTAAAATATGTTCTGAAAATAAAAAATAATAAAAATAGGTATATTTTTCATTTTTCTTTATTCTCTAGAATAATAATTTCAAAATACTTAAAAAATATTTTTATTTTTCTATACTTTAAAATAATATTTTAATTTTTTATTTTCTAAATTTTTTTTAAAAATATATTACCAAATAATTTTTTTTTTTTTACTTTAAAAAATATAAAATTATTTTTAAAATAAGTTGTAAAAATGGCCATAATTTTCTAAATCTCATTTTGCACAATCTAAAACTCAGCCTGATATCCGGCCCATGAACCTAATCTCTTGGTTCTTGGGCGCGGAAATTGAGGAGTTGCTTTCATAACCCAAAACTAGCTGAGGCCCATGTGGTAAAGCAAAGGAAAATTATTGAGGAGAATCACAATTAAGTTTTAAAAAAAAAAAGAGTTAATAACAGTTATATCCTCAATAATTTTTTTAAAAATAAACTGTAAATATTAACGAAAACATTTATAAATGTAGGATTTCTACTTGTAAGTAAAACATTTAAAGTCTAAGTATAACTCTCAGTTCATAATTAGATTTTTTTTATAAAAATAGGGGAGAATTGCACTGTAAGCTTGAAAACAATACAAAATTTTATGTTGGATCCAATACATTCTGACATTACACTACAAGCTCTAAGGCCTTTGCTGCAATTTTTTTTTTTGAGGGTGAAAGTGCAACTTTACTTTTATGTGATTTAAAAACTCAAATTATATACAACATGATAACCATGCGTGTTCAATTAATCTGTAGGTTAAAATATACATCACACATAACATGTACAATATAATGCCCATGAATGTACAATGTGATGTTAATGAATTTTCAATGCAATGTCCATGCATATTTAATTGATTTATAAGTTAATTAAAATAAAGTTATATAGAGCATGTATAATACAATGTCTATAGATGCACAACATAATATTCATATATTATTATGTTATACATTTATGGATATTGTTTGTATTACTTGTACATTTTATTAAACTCACTGATCAATTAGACACATGTGAAATTGTGTTGTATATATTATGAGTTTTCAAATCACATAAGGATAAAATTGTACTTTTCACAATGAAAAAAAATTGCAGTAAGGGCCCTTGGGCCTGTAGTATAATAATAGAATATATTGAACCTACAGTGCAATTTTTTACTCTTTGGAGGCCTGCAGTGTGATTCCCCCTAAAAATAATTAGAATTCTTATTTATAACTGTGAATTAATATTTATAATTTCTTTTTCAAGAAATTTTGTTAAAATCTAAATTCCTCTTTTAAAACTTCATTGTCATTTCCCCAATTATAGCATGACATGTGTAGCGCCAAATTTGTTAAGAATGATAGTCACAATAAAACCAGCATCAACATCTAAATGAAGTAGCGATGGATGATGATCAATCTTCAAGAAGCACGAAGCAACATGATGGCAACTGCTAGGGACAACGATGACAAATAGAGCATGCGATGACAGCAATCAGGAACAAGAAGAATCACAGACTTTAGGGCACTTGTACGACTAATTGGGTTCCATTTTTAGGGGCCTTTTGGTCTATTCATATTATTTTTAATTGCAAGTAAGAATCTTGATCTTTTTATAAGATTTCAATCATTCAAAACTTGTAATTATTATTAATCTCTTTATGAGATTTCTAAATGTCACTTTCCCTACATTCTTTCATTCGTATCCCAACTGGTTGTATTTGATGATTGCCAGTATTTCAACGTGTGAAAGCGTTTCCAAATACAGCAATGCATAAATGTCCTTTTATTAGATTCGATCTCATTCTCCTTGAATCTCCATTTTTTGTCTGCATTTATTTAATTAAAAAAATTTAAAGTAATTTTTTTTCCCTGAGCCGCACGTGGACTGTGGACACAAACATCACACAAGCGTGCATCCATTTTTGACATCCACAATCCCCAACCAAAATATGGCATACGTTACTGTATTTCAGGTCATTTTGGTGACTGCGCAGATTAGAAACGTATAAAACCAACTGATTTGCACATCATGCTCATGGAATAGTTTTTAATTTTTGGGAGGTTAAGAAATACCTTCTCCGTTAAAAAATATCTTATCATATCTTTTAATAAAGTAATTAATTATTTTCAAACAAACACTATATTTTTATATTTATTTTTATTTAATAGAATATTTCATTTTAAAATACATATAAAGTAATTTATTTAGTATAAATACTTATAGAAAAAAACACATCAATTATAGTTTAAAATATTAAAAATATTTTACATTTGTTAACATCTTAACTCAAAAAATATTTTATATTTTTTAAAAAAAGAGTATATTTTTGTTCAATGACTAATCTACCCCACAACCATAATATTAAAGAAAAAAAATCCCTTACAATTGAGTTGTTATGTACACAAGATTAGAAATGCCAAACATTTATTTAAGCAACCAAAGTCTCTATCTTTACAACATGAGTCAACTTTATGATACGATCCTCCGTACCATGAACTCATTCTCTTATCTATCACTAATTTTCCTTTTGCACTGCTTTACGCGGAAAAGTGAAACCTCATAGCACAATAATAATAATAATAATAATAATAAACAAAATGAAACATAAAGGTCATAACTCATAAGCTAGCCAACAAAAGAATATCAAACAACCCCAAACACGTTAATATAAATACAGAAGTTATGGGCTAATGGCTCAAGGGTTAAAAAGAGAGCGAGCGAGCAAACAAGAGTTACGGGGAGGAACTATAAGATATTTTGTCTTTACATGATGCCAAATCACCCCAAATATTAGAATCAGTCTTAATACACTATCTCAAATTGACGTATTTATTAATCATTGGATTCTTTCTTCTTCTTCTTTGCTTTATTAATGATTTTAATCTAACGATTAATAAATTTATCAATCAAAGAAGGTTCTAAAATACCTAGAGTAACTCTAAAATTTAGGCTAGTATTAGAATGTTATAATCTACTCACACCATGATCTATCTGGGTCTACCCGTATTTGATCCAGGACCCGGATAAGGTGGCCCACTCTTGCCCATAACAGGACCACCACTCACGCCCATTTGATGAAACCCACCAGAGCCGTACACGTGTCCCTGATGCATCATCATTCCCATTCCACCTCCGCTGCCCCCGTACACCCCGCCACTGCCGTCGAATGCACTATTCGACGCGCCGCCTCCTTCTTTGTCACGCGCCGCCACCACGCTTTTCTCTCCCTCCATCTCCCTGAACCTCTGCAAGTAAATCTTCAGTGGCTCCACGTAGTCCTCAAATCCCAGCGTGGTCATCGCCCACAGTAAGTCGTCCCCGTTTATGGTCTTCCGCTTCTCCCTCTGGCACTTATCGGAGGCCTCTCCGGTGATGAAGCTGATGAACTCCGATACGCACTCCTGTACCGTCTCCTTCGCGTCCTTTGAGATCTTCGCATTCGCCGGTAGCGCCTTCTTCATGATCCTGCTCACGTTCGCTATCGGTAGGAACCGGTCCTGCTCTCGCGGTGACAATTCGCTGCTGTTTGCATTAGCTCCAGCGTTCTGCCCCCCTCCGGAATCGTTATCCGAGTCCGCCATCGTCGTCTCAACACCACCGGGCTCGAATCACTTCGATTCAGCGAAAAACCTAAGCTCTAGGTCGGAAATAAGTTCCACGCAATCTGAAATTCAGTACGCGGAGTTCACGAACTGCGAAATTCCAGTCGTGTTCAAGTCCGGTCAACAGCTAATGGACTGAGAAAATCAGTAGAAAATAAAATTCGAAATCGATGAAGTTTTCAGATAAATTACACTGAGAAAATGTGAAGCAACTCTGGATCAGTTGACGGGGAAGATTGGCGTTGACGTGACAGGAATTTTCGACGAATTTCAACGGAAATCTACAGCAGCAGAGAGATGAAGCAGTGGCGTTGGAAGGCAATATAAGAAGCAGTAGGATTATACAGACGGAAACAATCGGCGGGCGAGTGAAGGTGGTGCAGGCGATCTACTCCAGCCGGGGAGGGGGGAGTGAGAGGGTTGAGTGAGGAGGGGAGCGAAAGGAATGAGCAAAGTCCGTCGGATTAGGGGATTAATAAGGCATTATCTGGAGGACACGTGGAACAAGGAGAAGCGTAGTTAGTCGATAAGCGTGAAGGTGCAGGGGCGAGTTTGGAAAAGTCCTGTGGAGACCACTGAACCATCTGGACCTTTGAATTCGCATCTCCCTCCCCCCCTCTCTCAGCTTTGCTGTGTTGTCGTCAGTTTCACAATTAACTATTTCATATCTCCACCAATCTCAAATTATAAAAATTATATAAAATATTTTTTTTGATAAAATTATATATGTGAATAAATCTCACACTTTGTAATTTTATTTTTTAAAAATAAAAATATGAAATTTTTACAATATCTTTTATTTAATATTTTATTTATAAAAAATATTAAAGAAAGAATATAATAAGAAGATAATATTAAAAATTTATTATTAATAAAACCTTATTTTTATTAAAATTTATTACATTTAAAAACTCAATTTTTTTAAACAGTATTTTATAATTTGAAATAGAAAGGGTATTATACTCCTCCTGTTTTTAAATAAAAAGGAGACTACCTATTTTTTATTGTTTTTTATTATAAACAAAATTACAATATTCAAAAAGAATTTATTCATTTATTTAAATTTTCCCTCATAAGTGGATAGTATCATTAAATTTTAGAAAAAATTAAATATTAATTACAAGAACATTTTAATTCAAACATTTTAAATATGATAATTAAGATATAAAAAGAGAATGAGCACATGTTTTGCTATGCCATACAACTATCCTAACAACAACAACAACAAAAAAAGGGATTCAATTTATTTTGCAACTTCTATTATGGACGGAATTCACCATTTATCTTAGTAGATCATATTTTTTGATCAATGAGCATCTTAAATTCTAAACTATTATTTAAATAACATCTTAAATTCTGAACTCTTAAAATAAATACAAATTCTCTTCAACTTGTAAATTTTAAGTAAATTAACTCCTATCATTTATCCATGCAATGTTGCCCATTATATAGCCTAGTTAACATGTCATGTGTCAAAAGGAGATTAATACCACTTTTGCATTTGATTGAGTTCTATAAAGTAAAAAATAATGACAGTTATATGTAAAATAATGGCATAAAGTAATTTGCTATTTGAGTAATAGTTTAAGATTCAGGATGTTCATGAATCCTAAATTTTTTATTGTGCATATATATATATATATATATATTAGAGATAATCTTGTTTGAGATACAATTAAGTACTAAATATCAACACTAAATTTTTATAATTTATAAAAAATACTCAATATTTTTTGAAGACTAATTTCTACCAAGATATAATATGCTTATAATGTTTCATTTTGGAATAGCATATTGCACAAAATATGAGCTAACTGATATTGCTCACAAAATTAAATATGAGGCAATGAAATATTTGGTACATAAAAAATGTTTTTTTAAAACAGAAATAAAAAATATACATAAAAAGAAAGTGGGATAGAAATATGGAAAAATTTCATGTGAGGACCCTTGACCTAAGATAACGAAAAAGAGAACCTCAGAATTTTTAAAATTTTACTAAAGGATCCATACGTAATTTCTTTTAAATTTGTGACAAAAATGACAATTCTCGTTTAAATGAACAATATAAATAACTTGTTCATTCTTATACTGTATGATATTTGTTTATTTACTGAATGTTATTTGTTTCTCTACTTCACTTATTTATCGACTTACTTTCACTTAATTTCATTTTAAAGGGAGGGCCATAAACAAGTGAAGAAGGAAAAACGAACAATATTTCTTAAATAAATGAACAATAGATAGTATGAGAATGAATAAATTGTCTTATTATGAAACTAATATTTAGAATAAAATCAAGTGAAACTATGACTATAAATAAGTGAAATAGGGAAATAAACAACACTTCATAAATATATGAATAACACATAATATGAAAATGAATAAGTCATTTATGTTATTTATTTAAATTAGGATAATTTTATCATTTTCGTTATAAATTAAGAAAAAATTTTGTATGGATCATTCAGTGAAATTTCAAAAATTTAAAAATCTTTTTTTTTATTATCTTGGATCAAGAGTCCCACCTAAATTTTTTTCTAAAAATCATTTATTATTTTTTTAAAAGTATTTTTTTACTCATCAAATATTATATTATATTATACAACAGATGTTAGCAATGAAAGGGATTCGTTTTCTGGGCCGTTACCAACGTTGAGAGTTTAAAACTTGTGGTTTGTGAATCTTACAGAAGTACGAGCGCATCTTTTTTTGCCAGCATTAAATGAGAGCCGAATTAAGTCTTCGAATGAATCTCATGAATGCCAAATCTGTCGATATGTCAGTGGCTTGTGAATTTATCTTAAAAGCCTTATTTACCAGCTTAGGAGAAAAGACTAATATATATATATATATATATATATAGCAGATCTTTTGAACCATTATTTCACAGTGCATGTTAAATTTTATAATCTTTTCACTCTTTTTGTACAACTCAGAAAATCCATTTTTGATAAATTCATAATGGAATGAGGATCTAAATGGAAAGGAAAATTGTCAATATCATTTATTTAAAAAATGGAGATCATAAGGCACCTCCAAAAAACAATTAAAAAAAATAAATTTGGCGATTCACTAAATTATAGGCCTATATATCGGTTTTAATGGAGTTTACTCTCCAACTTCGCCAACCTCGTACCCAATCAAATGAATCAAAAAGTGGTTCAAAGATTATTATAATCTTTTTTTTTCCTCAAAAAGGGTCATGAATTTAATGATCATTCAACTCATCCTTCTTAAAATTAATTAATTAATTAATTAATTCACTCATTAATTAAAACAAAAAAAGACAATTTAATCACATGGGGACATACATAGGACTTTCAAGCACACATTATAGCAGTTATATAGTTAGTGGTCACATACAGTGACTTTGATTCTAAGCAACCTGAAAGGTGCCAAAAACAACACTATTGAACTATTATTAGTGTATTAAGTGGTTCACCCACCCAAAAGGGTCCTAGTTTTAATGTCTTATTGATTGATATTGATGTGATTTGATAAAGTGATATTATTTATCGGCTGTTCTTATTATTTGTGAAAGAAAAAGAACTTCACATTCAAAGTATTAATGTATCCAAATTGAGCTGGATGGACTTGAAAGAGAATAACCAATGGGAAAAGATTATTAGTAGTCAATACCCAGCGGTATCCATGTAATTTGAACATCATCTTTGCGTCCCATCTATCACTAACCCAATTGATTTGACACCAAATAAAATCTCAGTCACTTTAGGGGGCCATAATAATTGGCAATTTGCATTGGTGCCCCACTTGTTTGAGTGGATCAGTGAGTCAACTGGAATCTTTTACACTTGATCCACTTGTCTATATTTTGAATTAAAAAAATATTCACAAACAAAAATAGCACGTGTACATTCTTAACAAAACATCCATATATTTATTAATAAACTGATCCGATACTTGATCCTCTCTGCATTCTTGGCCACTTAGGTAAGACAATGGAGAGAGCAAACTGAAATGCAAGAGATATTTATATTACTATATTTCAATTGTACCACCATGTCACAGGGCACTACAACAACCTGCGAGCAAAGACACTGTCACTCTGACACCCCAATACAAATGGTGTGTCATGACAAAACTGACAGGAGCATAAAAAACTGGAATGAAGACCTGGTTTTGATGGTTTCCAATATCAAACCAAACACGCTGTGCAAAGAAACATTGAGATATCACCATGTAATTACTTTCAAGTCGAAATACTTTTATTAAACTGGACAAGATTGTTGAAACCTGTGCTGGTCAGCAGTTACATTAACGATAGGTACAATCTGTTGATGTACACAAGAAGCTGCATCCTGACAGCCCACCAAAAGCCTCCACTAAATTTTGACATAGATTGGACGCTAAAGATAAATTACAGTCCCTTTTACTGTGCAAAAGACTAACTACCACGTGAAACCCAAGCGAGATTAAAGTTACATTGCTATTACGCCTATCTCCAAACAGTCACTTGTGATTCTCAGTCATGCTTTAACCTCCGGTGCAGTAGGCTGGGTTTCATCTTTCTCAGCATCTTCCTCTCCGTCGTCGTCGTCTGCCGCATCAGCCAGTTTTGTGAGCTCTTCCTGAATCATGAGCTTTATATCTGCCTTTTTTGGGGTGAGATCCACATTAAACCGCTTTGCTGAAAACAAGTCACAGAATTTGTTAGGCACCTACGGGGCATCTTAATCCAATTCTTATTTTCAATTCATGAACTGCATTGTTCTTTCATCGCAAGTTATGCTTGTATTTGTCAAGCAGTGGAACTATACTCACTTCAGATCCCAATTATTTTTCCAAAAATTGGGTTAAAGATCCACCAAAGTGGGTAGCCTTAACTGTACATGTGATAACAGGAAAGCCCGGAGCCTGTTCTCGTCCCTGTCAGGGGAGATGCCAACCATCTCCCCTTTCGAAGAACACTCAGATCCTTATTATTAAATATCTCAAATGATTCATCATTCCAGAATAGGTCTCCAGTATATCATGTGACACAGATTTCAAGATTAACCATGATTGGTTAATAATCAATAATAAATTGATTCATGTAAAAACTCCTAACCATGAAAGTACACAAAAGTTAACTTTTGCTCTCAAGATTATAGGAGCCGCACTATCTGATACTGTTAACTAAGAAATGGTACTTACCCAGCTGCTTCAGAATGTCGGTAAATGTTGCCTGCAAAAGGGAATTAATTTAATTCAGGATAACATATCAGTAGTTGGCAGCAAGAAAGAGAGTTCATTAAATTGCTATAAATTTCAAGCTCACACGCAGTCTTCAATGATGATGAAGCATGCAAATCTAGGAACACCAATGCAGATTACCAATGTTACAGTTCATTTTATGGATTTTACTAGCAATTCTGTAAGGAGTCATGCCTACCAAACTAATACATGGTCTTACAAATGCATGCATGCTACTACTTTAAAGGCATGCACTCCACTTATTTGGCCATTTACCTAGCTAAATGACAAATATCATGCTCACAACTAACATATCAAATGTTCGAATCAGAAAAGACATGCATAGGAACATTCAAGGATCCTCTCATAGTCCATACTCCCTTTGGACCATAATACAAGTCATTGTTAATTAATTTTCGTTTCTCAAAAAAAGCTGGTTAAGAACTTGATTTTCAAAAAATTTCACACATTTCCAATCGTGCCCATGATTATAATAAATATAACATTTGACTTATTCAAAACATCTTATTAATTACTTAATAAAGTAAGGGCTGTGATTGAAAATAAAAATATAGAAGACCTACCCAATGCCCTATGCTTTGAACCAAGCAAAACTTCTAGTAAACAATTTATATTGTGGTTTGAAGGGAGTACATGCATAGGTGGGAATGTGGTGATAACTATAAGTCAAGATTTACAAGCAGCTAAGCAAAATTTTGATGCTGTCCCAACTAGCAAGATGCTAAACCCAAAAATATTCATTTTGTAGGACAAGCAACTTAACGGTTGGATAACACTCAAGCTTAAAATCAGCATCTTACTGTATTGAAGTCAACTTCTTTAAGGATTTCACATGTTGCATCTCGCAACTGTTCATCACTGGGGATCACCTTCTCTTTGTTCTTGCCCTTTCCCTTAACTGCCTTTTCTGCTTAAATATAAAAAGAAGGGTGTTTCATTACATAAATGGGCTGAAAAAAATTAACACTAAACTTGTATACTTACGTTTTCAAATTTACTAAAATATAAAATTTATGCAAATTAGGACACTTAGACATTTAGATGAAAGAAAAGAGAAGCTCATCATGTTTACCAGTTTTCTCTTTGGAAGATGACTTAGTGAGGACTGAAGACTTCTGCTTTTCCCCCTTTTCATTTTTCTTCTTCCTTGAAAAGACCTTTGGACTTCCATCACTGTCATCAGTAACCTTTGACGGGGTAGATGCTGATTTCTTAGGTGTTCTCCTTGTTGTTAAGTGAGATTTATTCGTAAAAGTAACTTTCTTGGCTTTAATTTTTGCAGAGGATTCTTTTTTTATGGACGATGCTTTTGTAGCCTTCTTCTGTTTTTCTTCATCTTCAGATTCATTTCCAGAATCATTTTTCTCCTCACTTCCAGAACCCTCTGGCCTCTCCTCCTCAGATTTATCAGGAACACCATTTTCATTCTGCTCATTCTCTTCGTCTTCCTTCTCTTCCTTCTCTTCTTCCTCTGACTCATCTTCTGTATCAGAAGTACTCTTCCTCTCCTCCACAGCTGAAGAATCCTCTTTTTTCTTCCGACTCTGAAAAATACACACATTAATTTCAGGCAGGCAGGTTTTTCAAGACACCAAAAAATTGGAAGAATATCTCTAAAGATGAGTTCAAACTTCAGAATTAAAATATATGCGAAAACTATTATGGTTTTTACGTGTCTTCTTTTCTGATAGGCGAACCCACACTGACAAATTTATTCACACCTACCGGCCTCCCTACACAATAGGATTCAGGATGCACAGATATATTTATTTCTGAATGAAAAGATTGCGCATACTGAAATACGGGTATATGCTCATCAGAATTCACAAGTACAACTATAAAATACTATTCAAAACAAAGTAATAAGGTGCACAAAGAAGTCATTTAAAAAAAATTTACAAATGATGCAAGTGTTGCAGTGCCAAGTTTGAGGGTATACGAGCCTAACATCAAAATTAGTATCAATATCAATAAAACTATAAAGAGCCACACAATTCACAAACTTTGAATAATGCGGATCATCTACCTAGTCAACTTAAAAAGCCTAAGAAGTCATTTTCTATCATCTGGCTTGCAAATTTTTCCTTACTACTATCATCAACACATTTGGGCTGTCCACTTTACCTTTTGATTTGGCTCTGTTTGTTGGACTCCATGACATCTTTTACTCTTTTATGAACTTTTACTTCAGGAAATATTTTTCCTTACTAATGTCATCAACAGATCATCCATCTCATGCATCACATAGGGAAAAAAATCCAGTTTTACATAAACAATGAAACTAATTTATTATAAACAAAGCTACAGTATGCTGCTGCTTCAAATACAATCATGCTCTAGCTGTTAAAAAATGAAAAGCACCTTGGCAGAACGTTTTGAAGTTGTGATCCAAGATGCTGATGAGCCTCTTTTCTCAACCCGTGTGCGCTTTTTGCTCCTATTCGACTGTTAACCAACGTAAAGCAAGTCTTATGAATATATTGCACCAGGCATTTCTCGAGGAAGACATAAAAACATGATTTCAGAAGGAAAAAATTATAAGAAAATCTAACATACAAACCTTCTCCTTTCCTGCAAGTAGGACAGTTGTTGTAGCATGAGGAGCCACCAGAAATTCTATTAGCTTCGTAATGATATCTTCCTGCAGATGGAAGTATATATTCGCCCATAAAATCATGAATCAACACAAACAACTTAAGAAGGTAGAAATGCTGCTTTAGGAAGCTTGAAGTCATAATACAAGCAGCATGAGCATGTAGTATATCATTATCCTCAAAATCACAGCAAGACTGTACAGTGAAATATTGAAATAAAGTTTTTGTCTGTAAACAGCGAAACCATTTCAAGTGAAAGTGCAAAATTCATTAATAAAAAAGTGCATAAAAAATGCTAAACCATCAAACCTTTCTGGTTGTTGCCTTGTTAACTTGTATGTCAAGCACATCACAGAATTCCAATAACTTTTCTTTGTTACACTTGTCGAGTTTTTCTTTTACTTTCATTTGTTGCTTTTCCTGCAAAGACAAATTATGGAGTATAGAAGAGCAATTGGTAGAACGATAGCAAACGTTTAAGTAAATAAGCAGATAAAGCCACTAGTTTGTTATATACTTTATGGTTGCAAGATACAAGAACCAATTTTCACACTTAGAATTACCTCATTTTCACGCCACACAAAACCTGAAAACCTTAATATATTACTCTTAATCTGCGGTGCCTGAAAAAAAAAAAAAGAAAGAAAGAAAGAAAAGAAATCACTTCGTAGCCAGATGACAACAGAATATAAGCATATTTTAAACTGTCACGGCATGCATCACCCTCTATACTCAATTATAGAGGTGATGTGAGACAGTTACTACATAAAATGACAAAATAAACAATCAATGTGGGTTAAGTCAAAATATTATAATAATAGAAAAACACACAGTTCACAAATATGAGGACCTACCTTCCCTCTCCTTCCAAAAAGAATGGTATGGAGCAATCTGAAGGTTTCATCAGGCTTCCTTCTAGATAATTTAAATGCCACTAAAACAAACAAATGTGAGGGCCACAAAGTTAGTAGTCATCCAGAATAATACAAAACATGCATCCAACGCTCAACGGGCTTGCCATATCCCAGTGATTAAGATCATTCTGCATACCTTGCCTAGGTCATTAACATATGCAGGATCATGTTTAGGAGATAAGAGCATGCTTGATTTAAGTTCATGATCATTTAGCAATCCCGATACATAGTGGCCAACCATAGGCTATGTTTGGGATTAAATTTTATGCTCTTTAGCATCATTGCACTATGCCTTGGCTCCATAAGTAATTCTAGACTAATATTGATAGGTACTAAGTGGATGCAAAAGCTATCTATTGAGGAGAGAAAACTTAACCAACCCACCTAAATATCCTCTAAGCATCCAATATTACTCAGGGCTTAAGAGCATCCCATACTACCTAAGCCTCCATCAATTGGCTCCACTTGGAAAACCAATACCTCAATGGCTGCACTCTACAGCACTTCATATGGTGAAACTTTGCTTGAGATTATCATGGGAAGACATAAGTATGAATTTAAAAGTTGGCTCACATAAGTCTCGTGACTTGGACTCAATCATGGTGATGGTGAACAAACTCTCTAAACAACCATGTTGCAACTTTACTGTGTGAGACTGGTTTGTTGTTTTGCCGTGATTATCTGGTCCCAGACATTCATCCTTGCATTGGTTGGGGGCTTACTCAGTTATTTATGCTTATATAATACATTTCACAGCCATGTTCATCATTTATGTCCTAGTAAAAACTCATGTATACACATAAGCATCAGTAACAGTGCATGAAGCTATCAAGAAACATATGAACACATACCCAATACAGGCCTATCATGTGTAAAATAGTTTTTTAGAAACTATCTAAAAAGTGTCAAATAGAAACATAGAGCAACATTGACGTAGTGTGAACTATGCAGCCGATTGTTGTTGCATCTAAAGTGTCAAACATATTGTAAAACATGCACACAACTCTTTTTTCAAGTGTTAGAGAGCTCCATAAATGGTCCTCACTGTTTTAGTGTTAATAGGATTGCCAGACAACTAAAGATTAGGAACCGATTCACCATGGTTGTCAGATGTCACTGAAAAAGATATTTGAATTGCTAAAAGGGCACTGACTAGCTAATATCATCACTAACAAGGCATTTGGAAAAATGTCATTATCAAAGGTAATCAACTTGTGATAATGAACAGCATACCATGCCTGATTACAAAAAAACTAGAAAAAAATCACGTAGATACTTATCACAAAGAATCATGTCATATTCATGTTATATTCTTTTAGAAGAAAACTGATCCATGTTAAATAATTTTCAGTCGACTCTCCATATACTCCCCATTCTTTGCCAAGGGAAATATAAGGATATAATGTATTTAACCAGTTATTTTATGCTTGATCCTGCCTTAAAGTCAATTCTCGTGCTATTATTTAAAAATTCTGTTTGAAGAAAAACTTTTAGCATCAAAACCTGCAACAATGTGAAGTTCACATCTAAGGAAATAATGCAATAGGTTTACTTCAGCTGGCTAGAGTGAACAGAGGAAAAAAAACAATTTAAACACAGGCAGGCACCATACCGTTGGGTATATCTTTCAAAGGTGTACCATGGCCCTGCAATTTCAAAAGTATATCTTAAAAGACTTAAACATGATAGCTTTTAAAAGAATACATTGAAATCATAACTTTTCAAGACGAAAAAACTGCATTGATACCTTCTCAATGTGAAATTCTTTTGATGCATCTTTTTCATATGATGTTACCAACCTCTCCACTGATTTTCTTTCACGTACCGGGCGATCAATAGTAGGAGTCCTTGGCTCCACCTCTGACAGTTTCTTTCTTTTCTCTTTCACTTTCTCCCCATCACTCTTCTCCCTTGCATGCTTTTTTGATCCTTTCTTAACTTTGCTATCTTTTTCCTCATTTTCTCTTGGCTTATCAATTATATCCTTGCTCTCTTTCTCCTCCTCATCGTTCTCCTCTTCTACTTCTTCAGGTTCCTCCTTGTCAGCCTCCTCGTTGTTGTTGGGGGAAGCCTCTTCTTCCATTGCATCAATTTTGGAGTTCTCAGCTGCTTCTTTTTCTTTCACTGCTCCACTTTCCTTAGTTTCCTTAACCTCTGCCTCTTCATCCAATTTTTCAACCACAGATCCATTTTCATCCCTCTTATCTTCCGCTTCTTTTAAATCAACATCTTTCTCACTCTCTTCTAGTTCTTTTGCATTGCCATCTTTTTTATCCTCTTCTACTTCCTTCACACCATCCTTTTTCAAATCTTTAATTCCATTATTTTTCAAAACTTTTCTTCCGTCAGCTTCCAAGTCATTCTTTTCATTAATGTCATCTACTGTTTTCTCTGGCAAGCTATTACCATTGGAAGCTTCCTTGACCGTTCCCTCCTCACTCATACTGATCTTATTATAGCAACAATATACAATAAATACTTCTTCCTGCACACTCCACCGCGCTGAGCCGCTGAACTTGTTAAATTGGACAATTGAAGCCTGCTGATATTAAATAAAATAGGGCTTTAGTCTAGATACGCTAACATCGTTCTCGCCATGCACAACAATTTTCAAGACAACGCACACTAATTTCACCACAATTTGGAAAAGTATTCCAATCAGGTAACGAGCTTATAATTGAACCCGGAGAAGCAAAATTGAAGCCTCCTGTTCTAGTAACAACTGGGAAAAGGGTAAAAGGAATAATCCATGAAGGCCCTAATTGAAAGTCAACTGTAGAAATAGCACTCTTCAGCTGAGAAGAGAGAAAAAAACTTGACAAAGGTACCAAAAAGGCATGAATTTCGTGGTGCACAAGTTTTTGAGAAACCCATCTCAGCCAAAACAAGGGTAACCACAGTCAGGTAAATCAAAACGATATTCTCAACAATCCAGCGCACTTAAGGTCAAAAATTAACAAGGTCCAATTCGTTTTCTCGTCCACCAAACAGGAAAAAAAAAAAAAGTACTCAATTTCAACACAGACAATCAAATATGAAAATATAGAGCTATAATTATAATAAGAAGTTCCTTACTGAGCCCTAAGGCTTCCATCACCAACAATTCAAACAAAGCTAAAAAAATTAAAAAAAAAAACCAGTCATAAAGAATTGCTGAAAAAACAGAGCAAAAGAGGGCAATTCAAAGGATGGAAAAATACAGATTCGAGGCATTGAATTGAAACAGAGCATACCTTTGGAGCCTATCCGGAACAAGAAGTGTAAGTTTCTCTCACTAACATGTCCCGTTTACGATCCCAATCTCTCTATGATGCCACCCTTTCTCAGTCGTGGAGGTTATTTCTGACAATATACACAGTTCGGACTTCAAATGCGGATTTTAAATGCAGTTAACTGCCACGGTGGACGTGTGTGCCGCAGCAATCCGGAACGACAACGAAATCGACGGATGGTATTTGGTGTTCAAGTGGTACGTGGAGGATCGACGGCTGTAATTCGTGGAAGCGTTAAAGTTATTCTTTTGATTGATGATGCACACACTTGTTGCGTCGTGTGCACGTGGCGATTTCTGGGGCAAGTCCGTGGGGCCCACTTGAGATGCTTGTTTTCCAAAACTTTGCTGGAGAATTTCAACCAAAGACGTGGTGAGATAATTATGAATGGATCTAAAAATATTTTAAAATTTTAATTTAAAAGGTTAAAGTAAAAATAATTTTAACAGTAAAAAAATTTATTTACTTATTAATTTTATTTGAAATATAAAATTATTAATTTTTTATTCTATTTATTAATTTAATAATATTAATTGTAAATTATATTGGTTTGTCAGGTAAATAGTAATATCAATGATTAATTTGTTAGTATCAATTGTGAACTACACGATATGTCAGTAATTTACAATTAATATTAATAAATTAATATATAAAATTAATAATTTAACAACTAATATTATTATTTATAATTAAATAGCTGATATTCAAATATTATATAATTGTTAATAAATGAATTCATGTAGTAATTTACAACTCATATCAATAAATTAATTAATGAAGGTAATAAAGTTAATAATTTCATATCCCAAATAAATTTAATAAGTAAAAATTATTTTGGTATTTTTATTATAAAAACTATTTTTCATTTCAATTCTCTTGAAATAAATCAAAATTTTAATTTTTTTTTGAAATTCATTAGTAATTAACTTACATTTATGGTCCTCAATTAAAACTCTCCCAGCTTTCAAAGCAGACTCAGAAGTAATATAGCCGCGTTTTTTATTAGCGAGAGGAACTCTATATTATAATCCAGGAGAAAAATCTTTTTTGCAGATTTAGCTTACTAATAAAGTAATGGATAAAAGTGATTTCAACTTATTTAGTATTTTAATTTTATAAATGTATCTTTTCAACAGTCCTCTGTAAAATTAACACTATTAGTTTTGAATATTACAAGATAATTATTTTCTAATTTTTTAGACTTGCCCGACATTCTTTTTATTTTTGTAAAATGACACATTTTTCTGCCATTTTCCTTTTTTTATACTAATCATTGTTATTATCAATATTTGATAATGTTTTTTAATATTTAAAAGTTTAATGCCAATATTTATTTGTTAATGGAACTAACCATTTGAAAGTTAGAAGATTGAAAAAATATCTTATAAAATTAATGGACTAAGATAAAATTTTATATGGGGTTAAATTGTTAAATGTATATTTCTACTTAAAATAATGTGTTGAAGCTAATCCAAAATAATGCATTACATCATATCTCCAAAATTCACTGTATTCTTATCAACATTACTTGACATTATTATGGTAATTAGAAGGTAACTAGACTCCATTGCCTTACCATGATAGAAATGACTCCATTCAAATGTCTACTGTAGTTGATTAAAAGTGAACTTATTAAATTTAAATCACCAAATAACTCATGGTTGAATAATTTAAACTAAGTAATTTATCTCTAAAGTACAAAAGTTGAACCCAGTTGATAATAGAAGTTTTTTAATAAAAGTGGGGTCCCAAGTTTGATACTTTGGTTATAACCTTCTCCAAACAAGGAAAACAATCATTCATTAGAGTTTGAAAATAAACAAAAGCGTGGGATGTCATTGACATTATAAAACAATTGAAAATAATTTCCAACAATCCAAACTCTTTATTATATAACCTGGGGTTTGCTCAAAATTGAGAACCCAATCACATAACCACATAAAATTCACTAAAAGTAGATTCAGGGACTTAAAACAGCTTCCATTAATCCCACTATGACCAATGAACTTGACTACAACTTTGCCATAAACTTGATCATCATCCTCAAACCAAAAACCTTGCTTAAAAAAATGGACATAAAGGGAAGGGAATGAGGGAAAATGGCCACCTTGAAGATGAAAGCCCAAAACTTCCTCGAATGGTGCCCCAGATCTTGCCTTAACAAAACTCCCACACCATCTCTCAAATTCTCTTTTTTTTTTCTAATTCAATCTTGCATGTGATCTAACTAAATTAGATCTCGTGCCATTCATTGCGCAAGCCCGATTCATATTTGACTCCTTAACTTGAGCCCAACATTGCTCAATATACACCTGAGTCTTATCCAAAGTTTGCCAACTATTCCAATAGATCTGTTAGTCATTTACAACCATCATCTACTTAATATATGCAACAATTTACAATTTTATCCTTCATTAACCTACTAATCATGGATTTCAAATCCAAAATGTTATATGTCAAATAATGTGTAAAAATTATAAATATGAATAAAATAAATTTGAATATTTTAAAGTCAGTATGAACCCAAATGCTTACAAATATCAAATTTAAATCAAGATGATGAAAAATTAATGGAGAATTTGGTGACGCTGCTTAATGGGGTAAACTTTATAATTTATCATTGATACGAAGGTGAAAATTAATCAAAATTATGACAATGTTGTTGCTTGTTGGACAATCAGTTACATGTTGTTAGCCTCTCGTATATAAGCTGGAGTGTCCTTATTTCTTAATAGCAGGAATATTCACATAATAGAATGAAATTGGTATAACCTTATCCCATATTTCATCTTGAAATTAAATTTTTGTTATTGTCTTGTCTGGAATTGGGATAAGACAGGACATTGCAATAAAGTAGATAAAATGTAAAAAAAAAAATCAATAACATCTATTAAATTACATAATAACTTGTTAAGCCTAACATTAAAATAACAAGAGTACATAAATCCAATCCTTGAGCTATAGCAACTATAATTTAAAGTTAAAAAACACAATTACAACTTAAAGTCAAGTACACAATAACCACAAATAACATCTAGGCTACAAATACAATAACAACAAAATCATTGAGTCACACAACTTAAATAAACTAGTCAAAGGCAACATAAAACCATTGTTCATTCCCTTAAGTTGTGATCTTTGGAGCCATCACATGTTAATGAAAATGTATGTATATTATTAACAAAAAATTTATACACTAAATAAATAAACTATTATATATCAATAAAAAAAATAATATGTATACCTAAAGGTGATTTCGAGTCCCATCTTGCTCCAAATTTCTTTTCTTTTCTTTTTTTTTGGTTGATCCTGCTTTTTTTAGCATTGTTTTTAAAACCGGATCGGACCGGCGGTCCGACCGGTGAACCGGTGACCCGGCCATGTGTCCGGTTCGGTTTTCTTTTTATTTTGTTTTCAGTTAACCCGGGTGACCCGGGATTAACCCGATTAACCCGCCCAACCCCTCGGTTCAGGCGGGTTGGGCGGGTTGAAATTTAAAAAAAATTAATAATGATTAATTAAGATATATATTTATTTTTAACATGATAATGATTAATGATAGGTCAATATGAGTCATAGGGTAAAAAAAATATACTTATGTCAGATAAGGGGATGAAAGAAGTAAAAAGAAATCAAAAAGTATAAATATATATTATATTATATTATTTTTTAATTTGAATTATTTAATTAAATAATTTTTAAATATATCACTTTCATTTATTATCTTTTATTTTAAAATAAATTTTTATTTCTATTATTTTAACTCATTGAAATTTTTTTATCATTTAGTTAACCTTATTTTAAAAAAATATAAAAATATTTTATACTTTATTATTGTTAGAATTATTGTTATATGTTATATGAGATATTAAGACTTGGATATGTATGAACGTATTGAGAATTAATACATTTTTTATTTAAATTATATTATTTTATTATGACCGGTCTGACTCCGGTTTGACCCTCGGTTGAACCCATGACCCCTGACCCCTGAGTTTGCTGCTTCAATGACCGATCCGGTTTTCAGTACCTTGTTTTTTTAGGCCGGGATAAACCTGTCTCTACATAATTATGGAGCTGGGCCGGGGGGAACGAAGACAAGCGTGAACACCAAGCCTAGATTCCTGTTTACTATAGTCTTTCATGACTGCAGTATATATATATATATATATTTTTTTTTTTTCCTTTTTCTGGTATTAAGTATCTTTTTCCGACCATCAAATTTAACGGTCATGAATTTTTTCTAAGAAAATAATTTTATATTCACAACTCCCACGTGCGCACATCAAAATTAGATTCAAGATTCTATGCCTCACGTCCGAGAGCATGGAATTTTACCAAGTTGACTAAAAATTAAAGGATAATAAGATTTTTAATTTTTTAAATCTATATCAATTATCAATTTTATCTCTGGAGTTTAATTTTTATTAATTTAATTTTTTTAAGTTTGTCCTACACTACAAGAGCTGTTTAACACAAATTTTGAAGTTTTGTGATTACTGCTGACATAAGTAATAAAGGCCATTATCACTTAAATGAGTAGTCAGAGTTTAAACTTTAACTCATGTAGATGTAATAATTTAGCTAGGAAAGAATTTATCCATTATTCTCAATATCTTGGAGAGATATTTTTTTAATTATCAGCGAAGCTCGTTTCTTATGCTTATGAAAAAAAAAAAAGGAATTGACAATATTTTACTTTAACATGAATATTCATGCCAAGATATTTTTCCGGGATTTCCGCATTTTCCCTCTTCGCCCCTTTCCGTCGGTGACAGGGATTTTCAAGTCTATTCGTCTGCATGCACCGTGCAGTGTAATAAAATGATTTTTGAAAATGACAATATTTTATTATGATTTTGATCGATTATATGATATCTCCATGGGATTCCAATCATCTATAGGTAAGCGTTGCGTAAAAAATGATTTTTATAATTTTTCGTTTTTTGTCTTTATTAAGTAAATATTTTCCATACACTTGTGTAAAGTATAAACTAAGAATGACTGTTTAACTAATAAAATTAAGGTATTATTTAGATTAGTAAATTTGAATTTGGATTTTAAATTAAAATTTC